TATAATAAGCAGCCAAAAGAAGCAATGCCTTACCCTCAACTTTGCTGAATATTTAATCTGTAGCATGGGGGCACACACCTATAATGCCAGCAGTTTGGGAGGCTGAGGCAGGAGAATTGTGAGTTCAAAGCCAGACTCAGCAATTTAGAAACACTCTGTCTCAAAATTAAAAAAAAAAAAAAGGTTGGGAATGTGGCTCAGTGGTTAAGAGCCCTTGGGTTCGATTCCCAGTGCAAAAAAAAAAGGATTTCTTCTGCCAAATACCTTATGTTACTTTTCCTAAATTCCTCCTTCCATAAATCTCTAAGGTCATGAACACAACATAATCAAATTCTTGGTCACTTTGTAACAAAAAATGGCCTTTCCTATAGTTTCTAATATCAAGTTCCTGGCTTCAATCTGGGACCTCATCAGAATGGCCTTTACTACCTAATTCTACCAACATTTTGATCACACTGCTCGGATAACTCTAAGCAGACTGAGGCTTTCTCCACAGCTCTCTTCTGGGCCTTCTCCAGAACCACTCTTTACTGTCCATTCATGGCAATACAGTCTTTTGCTAATGTATTTCTCTAAACTCAACTAATCTCTGCCCACCAAAAGTTACAAAGCCTCTCACAGAGTTTCAGGTATTTATTATGACAGCACCCCATTTCTCATATCTGCTATAACAAAATACTTTACTAGGTAATTTACAAAATAATAAAAACTTATTTGTCACAGTTCTGGAGAAAAGGAAGTCCAGCATATTCAATGTCTGGGGAAGACACAGAGCTTCACAGAATGCACCTGCTTGCTGGGTCCTTATGTGACAGAGTGGGCTGGGGTGTTCCCTTCAATCTCTTTCCAAGGGCACAAATTCCATTCATGAACACAGAGCCCTTGAGACTTGACCACTACACAGTGGTTCCACCTCTTTACATCACCACAACGGGGATTATTAGGCTTCAGCATGAATTTTGAAGGAAGATGTTCTGAACATCGGGGTTCTTCCACAATTAGGAAACCAGAGAGAAAGTCTGGAGGGAGACAAATCAAAGCCAATTTTCTTTTGCCAAATCTCTTCTGCTTCTTCCGCCCTTTGCTGTGTTGATCCTGATGTTTATGGAAACTGAGTTAACAGTACACTTGACTATTTACCATTGTCAGAACTGAACTGTGTAAGAGTTTATATGCACACATGTTCAAATTGACAAGGGAAGAAAAGAGGAATTATAATTTGAGTCAAAGCAGTATCAATTAAAATACCCCCCCGCCCGCCAAAAAAATCTCTCAGAAGATTATTGTAAGGGTCAGACTCATAAAAATCTGATTACATTTAATTTTAGTGAATGTCTTATTTATCTCCTTTATCTCATTTTCACCTACTGTAGTGGCTGGGGAAGGGTACTGCTTAACTAATGTTTGAAAATATACACTGAGCTACCTTGCAATGGGGACACTTATTTGAGCTTTAGTCTCCAAGTCATTTGGAGCTAGATTACATTCTTCACATACTTACAGTAAATTGTGTTTTATCTTTAGCTGGAATTCTGCAGATGATTAACAGTCCTCAACTGACCAAAGAATATATCATGTCTATAATGTCTTAAAGACTTTCTAAAATCATTATGTTTTTTTGTTTGTTTGGGTACTGATAATTGAATCCAGGGGTGCTCTACTGTTGAGCTATATCTACAGCCCTTTTTATTTTAAGTACCCGTCTCCCTAAGTTGGAGAAGTTTTCACTAAAATGCTAAGGCTGGCCTTAAAATTATGATCTTCCTGCCTCAGGCTCCCAAATCTCTGGGATTACAGAGTTGCTAGAATTATAAGTATACCACCACACCCAGCACCATTAAGTATGTTAAAAGATATGTTTGTATAATTAACTTTGCATTAAACACTGTCCACTGTGCTACATATTATGTGTAATTTACTTTTTTTGCTCTATAGAAGAAAAGATGTACATACTGACAATGAAGAATTATTCTTCAAATGTATAATAACTTTTATCTATGTTGGGGAGAGGCCATTTAAATTAGGTATAGTTTTGGAGCATTGAATACATGCACCTCTGTTTATAAATATGGTTTCCTGAAAGTGTTATATACTTAAAGCTCTAGCAGAATTAACAAATATCTTTAGAGAAATAGTTAAATATTTCCTATTTTTCATCTATTATTACTATTGTGAAAGATGAAAATTAATTGATGTGTTATTTTTCCCCAATTGTCATTTCAAATTCAAAGCTCTAGATATGGATTAAAATACTGGTTAAACATTCAAATTATGAGACTATCTAGTTAAGGAAAAATTTAAAAAGATTCCAAGAGAAACGAAAAAGAATAAAGATATAAAACACAACAGATTTCAAATCAATTTAAACAACTAAAGCCAAGAGAAGGCTCACACAGGGGGCAAAGGCTTAATATTACACATCCACAGATTCCATTACGTGAAAATGCAACATGGAAGAACACAATGCCTTTTTGTCAAGATATATAATAAATTACATTCAGATAAAGACAAAATGTTTTTAAAAAGTAAAAGAGATGACTGAAATTAACTGGAATATTTGATCAAATTTCTTCAGTATAATTATCTTTTTTTTTTTTTTTTTTTTTTGAACTCAGGGGTTGAACTCAGGGGCACTCAACCAAGAATCATGTCCCCAGCCCCATTTTGTATTTTATTTAGAGAGAGGTTCCTACTGAGTTGCTTAGTGCCTCTCTTTTGCTGAGACTGGCTTTGAATTCACGGTCCTCCTGCCTCAGCCTCCAAAGGCACTGGGATTACAGGCATGTGCCACCACACCCAGCTTACAATTATATTTTAAGTTAGTCTTTCCTAAGCAAAATTTCAATTCAAACAAAGAATGATGAATTTCTTACCATTTGGGGTCCAACATTCACATTTATTGGTCCTAAGGTTTTTGGTAAAATTTTTGTTGGTGAGTTGGCGCTGGAAACTGGAAATGCAACAAATGATATGTTACCTGAAATGATATCAAAACATTAAATCAGTCTTGCAACATCAAGTCCACTGCTATCCATAAACAGCCTCAGTGGTGAGCCACTTTACTTAAGTAATTTAAAATTACCTTAAGAGCATATTATAAACAAGAAGACTTACTGGAAACCCATAGTATTGTTATAATGAATATATTAGTTCTGATGAATAACTAATCAGTTATGTTTTATAGAAAATCTATAAAATAAATAGTTCCAGTCTATTGGATTTTTAGTCTTTTAGAGGAAAGAAATACTTTGAACACATTAGTACAAATCCTAGTTCACACTGAAAGTTGAGAGATCTTTAGCAGACTCAGAGAATTAAAAAAACGTATGACGTATGAAAAGTAAAATGAAGATTCAAATTCTTTATAGTAAAAACATTTATACCAAAAGTACATATATTTTCAAAATGTCAAATTGGTAGCTTCTCCTACACAAACACTTTCATAACAGTAAAGAAAAAAGCCAGGCACAGTGGCACAGGCCTGCAATCTGAGCTACTCAGGAACCTGAGGCAGTAAGATTCCAAGTTCAAAGTCATCCTGGGTAATTTAGCAAGACTGTCTCAAAACACAAAGGGCAGGGAATATTAGCTCAGTAGTAGAAAGTCCCAGGGTTCAATTTCCAATACCTCAAGTAAAAGCAAAATATATATTTTTTAAATGATGCCAATTATTGATGCTGCAAACGGTAAAATCTATATTTTCAAGCGATTTCAACACTTTACATTTCAAATTAATATAGCAAAGTAGTAGCAAAAAAAAAAAAAAAAATCCCCAAAGTGAAAAGCCAATTTTCCAAACTACAATATCAAATACTAAACTCCTGTGGACAAACTTTAGTTTATCAGTGTTTCTTCTACAAGATGCCAGTGTAACTGAAGAAAAGGAGCTCACCCGGGAAGTAACCGAAAGAGGACAACACTGAAACCGGGGGAAATGAGCGCTTAGACCAGAACTAGAAAGACATGGTCTTCTCAGTCTCTTCCTAAGATGGCCATGTCCTTACTTTTCCAAAGCTTGACCACACTCCTTAATCTCCTTTTTCACCTTGTAACTCTCAGCAGATTCCTGTACCTCCCGTAGGAAGGAAATCAGGCCATCAGGCAAAATTACTGCTTGTAATTTATTATTAGTAGTACTATTCTATTTCTCTCTGAATGGAAATGTCCCTTGATCTCATAGAAATGAGGTCTTCTCTCTCTGTTCTATGCTTTATACTAATGGGTGTGACTTCACCCATCAAAGATGCACTCTATCATGAATTTTCAACTATTCCATTAGCTCCTTCCTTCCCTTCAGTTTCTCTCTCTCTCTGTCCATTTGATACTATAGATCATTTTCCTCAAATTTCATATTAAATACAATTCTTCATCTTTCTCATGTCCAATCAGCAAGGCTTAGTACTCAAATCTGCCTCTCCTTCAGGTTCTCACTGATACATGACTGAGCAGTGGCATATTATCTTCATCTACACAGTGATGCAATTGAGAAAACAACCTTCACTCAACCCCTTCTTCTTTCAAATGACCACCACACTCTATTTATTATCTCCTTACTCTGGTTCCTTTATGCTGCTGGAACTTGTTTAATCTGGAACTTCATAGTATATGGTTTGGACATAGCAACCCTCCAACACAGTGGTTCACAAACCCTGGCTGTGATCCCACTAGACAAGCAATAACCAATGCCTATGCTCGGGATCTGAGGTGAACTTGGGCATGAAACTGGTAAAGTTCTCCAGATGATTCCAACGTGCAGTCAGGGCTGAGCACCAATGCTCTCACTGGATATCCCACCTCAAGCAGTCTTCCTTACCACCCAATACATCTCTAACAAGCCAGTCTTTCAACTGGCAAAACTGTTCTGATATTCTACTAACTCAAGGTCTTCAAAGACTCTACACTTCCTAAATACCTCTAAAGGCTCCTAAAAATAACACAAAAGCTCCAGTCAAAGATTTCAGCCCTGTCTCTTTCCCAGTTTCACCTTCAGCTACTCCCTTCACATGCACCCTGCACTTCAATCAGATCAAACACTGTGCAATTCCACCAAGGCCCCCAGACAACCTCCTTGCTTTGGAGTACAACTTTCCCTCTGCTGGGAAGACCCTTTCTGCTAGTCAATGACTGTGAGTACTTCAAGCTAAATATACAACTGTCCCTTGATATCTGTGGGGGCGAAAGGCTCCAGGACCCCCACCTCCACCCCATGGATACCAAAATCTATAGTGCTCAAGTCCCTTTTATAAAAAGGCACAGTAATTGCATTTAACCTGCCTGTACCCTCCTGTACATATTAAATCATCTCTCAATCATGCACAATGCCTAATACAACAGAAATGCTATGCAAATGCTTGTTGTACTATATTATATAGGAAATGATGGCAATTTTAAAAGGTCTGTACATATTCAGTATAGACCTTTTCATTTTTTCCATTTTCAGTTCATGGTTAGTTGAACCTGTGGATACAGAGGATCGACTATATTCCATATCATTTTCTGGGAGATTATTATGTCTGTTCCACAGTCTGTTCCAGAGGCTTCCTGGCTTCCAACACACACACACACACACACACACACACACACAGAGACATGCATAAAATTTTAAAAAATTAAAAATTCATATAAATATATATAATATGTATAAATGTCAATGCTTAAGACAACAGTGTAAAATAGATTCTATAAGAGAGGTTGAGAGACGTTAGATCATTTGTTACAAGATCCCACAACTTGTGAACATCATGGTTCCACCTCAAAACTCCATTTCCACCTTCTCCTTAAAAGCTGTCCTCAGCCTCTGTGGCCTAGGTCCTGGATGTCCCTCTTCAGGCTTCTCATAAAACCCACTGCTTACCTGCAGATCTCCTGTCAGTGGGCTAGGTCTCTAAGCTTGGTATCCCAGCACCTAGTTTAGTCCCTCACACAAAATAGGGACTAAACTAGGTGCTGGGATAGCATAGTTTATAGTTATTTGATCAGCATAGTTTGGAATGACTACCTTTCCTAATCTGGAAGCCAAAATTCCTGTAATGCTGTCCACATCAAACACTTTGTTGTCTTTCTCAATAGAAATCATAACTCGGAGTTCGAAATCAACTAAAATGCTACATCCTTAATTTTATTTTAAAAACCTAGTATTATCAAATAAAGATTCCCTGTAGTGTAACTGTGCAACCGATTTTTTTTCATAAAAAGTATATCTTATCATTTGCTAAAGATTTTTAAGGTTATTATTAAAACTCCCCCCAAAATGGTATTCATCTGTTGAAGAACCCACATAAGTGGAAAATAATAATCTATGAGTCTGCAGTTATGGCATTGAGAGACATGAACCCCAAACTTGATTCCAGGTAGATCCACCATAGATCCCTGTAGGGAAGAATAAAGCCCTGAAAAGGTGTAGCCCTCAGCTGCTAGTTTTTAAGTGAACCTACTGCTGCTGAGTGTTTAAGATGAGATCATCTCTGCTATACTACATCAGAAGCAAAAGTAAAAACCTGCAAAAAGAATGAAGAAGAAACACAAAAAAATAAGTAAGGTTAGGGAACAGACTGATCCTACTTAAACCGACACTAAAAGAAAACAAAGACTATAAATTTTTAGATAAAATAAAAAGCATTAAATCCAGAACTGAAAAGGAAACACATTAGTCCAGTTAATACCAAAAGAATTTAGAGAAAACTTAACAAATTTGACAAACTGATTCTAAAGCATATGTGAAAGAGTAAAGGCAGAGAACAGCCAAGGAAAATTTTTAAAGGAATAATGGGGCAGAGATGAACTTCAGCCAACCAGATCTCAAAAGGATTACAAAGTTACAGTAATTGAAATAATGTGGTATTGTCAAAGCAGATAAAGGAATTGACAAAACAAACTGAAGTCCAGAAATTACTTCATTCACATATGAAAAATTTGTATGTAGTAAATTAGTATCTCAAACTGATGAAGAAAGAGCAAATTACTAGGACAAGTATTGTCCATGTGGACAAAAGAAACTTCAGGTTTCAGTTTCTCACCTTGTACAAAAATAATTTTATTTTAATAAAAATATCAAAAGCCATAAAAGCATTTGAAGAAAGACATATAGTATTTTTATAATTTGGGGATAAGGATGTTATAGAATTTAGAAATAGTAAAAGATTGATATATTGATCACTTTAAAACAAAAGTTTTGCCAGGCTAAGTGTAATCCCAGAGGCTCAGGAGGCTGAGGCAGAAGGATTGTGAGTTCAAAGCCAGCCTTAGCAAAAGCAAGGCAGTAAGGGCTGGGGTTGTAGCTCAGTGGTAGCGTGCTTGCCTAGCACGTGTGAGGCACTGGGTTCAATCCTCAGTACCACATATAAAAATCAATAAATAAAATAAAGGTATAAAAATACAATAACATTATTTAAAAAAAAAGCAAGGCACTAAGCAACTTTTATTTAGAGACGCTGTCTCTAAATAAAATACAAAATTGGGCTGGAGATGTGGCTCAGTGGTCAAGCATCCCTGAGTTCAATCCCTGGCTCCCCAAAAATAAAAAGTTTTCTGTAGAGCAAAGACCCAACAGACTTCAATAAAGATAGTCAAGCTGGTAAAGAAATTTGCAATTCATATATCATTAATATCCTTTAAAAATTATTATTATCCTTTAAAAAATTACTTAACCTCTCCTTATAAATCAGTAAGAAAAAAGACAATAATCCAACATGAGAATATCTCAGTACACAAAGAAATACAGTGCCAGAGACGGCATAAGAGGTGCTCAACTTTACTCAGAAGGACACATTTAAATAGGTAACAAACACCCAGTCACCTGAAACTTCAGCCTGTTAAGAAGAGGTCAACCAAATCAAGTTCAAACAATTTTTCCTAATGTACTTGGCCTTAATTCATAACCCCTTTGCAGGAGAAGCCTGATACTGCCCCAAAACTAATTCCTGGCACTTGGTATATTTATTAAAAACAAAA